AAATAAATATATTATTACATAATAAGAGAGATAATAAAACTATAAAAATCTATAATTGTGTCAATTTCATGTCTTCGAGATCCATAGTTAATTCATACTGGCTGATGTTGGAACAGGTATTTAGGGCTGTAGTCAAATCATACATATTTCGCAGCTCGATTTCTCCCTCCGCATTGTTTATAACTGAAAAGAAAGAGAAAGGGAGGGTTTAAAGGTCTTTCGAATTTATCATAAAATATATCAATAACCGTATCTATTTTTTAAGAATTAATTTTTAAATAGACATTCTTTTAGATTTTCAAGAATATTTTTTTATGGTTTGGAATGCATTTCAGGGCTCAAAGTTGTAATCATGGATTCTTTTGAAAAAAATTTGCATAAAAAATTATTTGCTTTTTAACGCAATCTTGAAATTATATTTAGATATCGTTCGTTTTTAAAGCAATATTTTAGAGGAATTTTAACAGAATCATGGATTTTTAAAAAATATTTGCGGATTTTTCCAGAATCGTAGATTTAAAAAAAATATTTTTCCATTTTTCCAAAATCGTGGATTTAAAACAAATTTTTTTTCCATAATCATGGATTTTAAAAAAAATATTTTTCCAAAATCGTGGATTTTTAAAAAAAATATTTTTCCAGATTCGTGGATTTAAAATAAAAATATTTTTCTATTTTTCCAAAATCGTGGATTTAAAAAAATCCAAAATTGTGGATTTAAAAAAAAAAATATTTTTCCAAAATCGTAGATTTTTAAAAAAATATTTTTTCATTTTCCCAAAATCGTGGATTTTAATAAAATATTTTTTCATTTTTCCAAAATCGTGGATTTAAAAAAAAACATTTTTGGATTTTTCCAGAATCGTGGATTTTCAAAAAAATATTTTTCGAATTTTCCAGAATCGTAGCTTTTAAAAAAATATTTTTCCAAAATCGTGGATATTAAAAAAAAAAATTTCATTTTTCCAAAATTGTGGATTTTAAAAAAAGAATATTTTTCCAAAATCTTGAATTTTAAAAAATAAATTTTTTGATTTTTCCAAAATCGTGGATTTTAAAAAAATATATTTTTCCATTACTCCAAAATCGTGGATTTTTAAAAAATATATTTTTCCAAAATCGTGGATTTCAAAAAAAAAAAAAAAAAAAAAAAAAAAAAACCAAAATCGTGGATTTTTAAAAAAATACTTTTTCAAACTCGTGGATTTTTTAAAACATATTTTTTCATTTTTCCAAAATCGTGGATTTTTAAAAAAATACTTTTTCAAACTCTTGATATTTTATTGAGATATCTTTCATTTTTAAAGCAATATTTTAGAAGAGTTTTAACAGAATCGTGGATTTTTAAAAAATATTTTTCCAAAATCGTGGACTTTTAAAAAATATTTTTCCATTTTTCCAAAATCGTGGATTTTTAAAAAGAAATATTTTTCCAAAATCGTGGACTTTTAAAAAATATTTTTCCATTTTTCCAAAATCGTGGACTTTTAAAAAATATTTTTCCATTTTTCCAAAATCGTGGATTTTTAAAAAGAAATATTTTTCCAAAATCGTGGACTTTTAAAAAATATTTTTCCATTTTTCCAAAATCGTGGATTTTTAAAGAAAAATATTTTTCCGAAATCGACGATTTTTAAAATAACATTTTTCCAAAATCGTGGATTTTTAAAAAAATATTTTTTTCATTTTTCCAAAATCGTGGATTTTTAAAAAAATATTTTTCCATTTTTCCAAAATCGTGGATTTTTAAAAAAATATTTTTCCATTTTTCCAAATCGTGGATTTAAAAAAACATTGTTTGATTTTTTCAGAATCGTAAATATTTAAAAAAAATATTTTTTGATTTTTCCAGAATCGTTTGGAAAAGAATAATTTTCCAAAATCGTGGATTTAAAAAAAATATTTTTCCAAAATCGTGGATTTAAAAAAAATATTTTTCCAAAATCGTGGATTTAAAAAAAATATATTTCCAAAATCGTGGATTTTTAAAAAATACATTTTTCCATTTTTCCAAAATCGTGGATTTTTAAAAAACATATTTTTCCAACATCGTGGATTTAAAAAAAATATTTTTCCAACATCGTGGATTAAAAAAAAATATTTTTCCAACATCGTGGATTTCAAAAAAAAAAAAAAAAAAAAAAACCAAAATCGTGAATTTTTTAAAAAATATTTTTCAAAAATCGTGGATTTTTTAAAAAATATTTTTCCAAACTCGTGGATTTTTAAAAAAATACTTTTCCAAACTCGTGGATTTTTAAAAACATATTTTTTCATTTTTCCAAAATCGTGGATTTTTAAAGAACCATTTTTTGATTTTTTCAGAATCGTAAATTTTTAAAACAAAATATTTTTTGATTTTTTCGGAATTGTGAATTTTTAATACAAAATATTTTTGATTTTTTCAGAATCGTGAATTTTTAAAACAAAATATTTTTTGATTTTTCCAGAATCGTGGATTTTTAAAACATATTTTTTGATTTTCCAAAATCGTGGATTTTTTAAAAAATATATTTTTCGATTTTTCCAAAATTGTGGTTTTTTAAAAAATAGCTTTCAATTTTTCCAGAATTGTAGATATTTTAAAAAAATCGTGGTTTTTTTTAACGTGTATCTTTTAAAAAACAGTTTTTGATTTTTTCAAAATTGTGGTTTTTTAAAAAATAGCTTTCAATTTTTCCAGAATCGTGGTTTATTAAAAAAATATTTTTCAATTTTTCCAGAATCGCAGATTTAAAAAAAATATTTTTCAAAAATCGTGGATTTTTAAAAAAAAATATTCTACGATTTTTGAAAAATATTTTTCGATTTTTCCATAATCTGGATTTAAAAAAATATTTTTTCATTTTTCCAGAATAGTGGATTAAAAAAAAATATTTTTTAATTTTTCCAAAATCGTAGATTTAAAAAAAAGAATATTTTTCCAAAATCGTGGATTTAAAAAAAATATATTTTTCCAGAATCGTAGATTTTAAAAAATATTTTTCAATTTTTCCAGAATCGTGGATTTTAAAAAAAATATGTTTCGATTTTTCTAGAATCGTGGATTTTTAAAAAAAAATATATTTTGAAAAATATCGAAACATTTTTCGATTTTTCCAGAATCGTAGATTTAAAAATATAATTTTCGATTTCTCTAGAATCGTAGATTTTAAAAAAATATTTTTCGATTTTTCCCAAATCGTAGAATTTAAAAAAAAATTATTTTTCCATTTATTCAGAATCGTGGATTTTTAAAAAATATTTTTCGATTTTTCCAGAATCTGGATTTTAAAAAAAATATTTTTTAATTTTTGTAGAATAGTGGACTTTTAAATATATATTTTTCGGTTTTCCCAGAATCGTGGACTTAAAAAAAAAAATATTTTTCGATTTTTCCAGAATCGTGGATTTTAAAAAATAAAAACTTTCTTGGGATATTTTTGAAAGATTTTCAAGGATTAAAAAATATATTTTTTTTGGAAAGAAAATTTTAAAAATTTTTGGAGAAGTTTTAATACAAGGTGGCGCACAAGGAATCCTCCTATCAGAAAATGCTATAAATTTTACAATTGACCCCTAATGTCAATCAGTTACACGTTAGTAAACAATATTACGCTACACTGCTCCAGAACGCAGAATATTGGAGACTATTTATTTGACTATTAATCGATCGGTGACTTTGGCACAACTTGAATTGCGTCGCAGACTTCCTGGCGGTCCAACGCCTACTGGTGAAGCACTGAGACGTTTATACGCTCGAATCGAAGAGACTGGCACAACAAATGATGCTGCCAGGCGCCTGGCAGACCCCAGAGTATCCGTTCTGCAGTGAAAATTGCATTAGCTGTTAGCTGCTGACCGCCATTTGCATATTAGCGAAATTTACGCTTCTGGGGCATCGAACCTTTTTTCTTCGAAAACGTCGCGGGCCAAACGGTTACTGTGAATGGTGAGCACTACAAAGCAATGATCAACGAGTTCTTCTTGCCGCAACTTGAGGAGTTTGGATTGGAAAACATGTGGTTCATACAGGACGGAGCAACAGCACACTGCACGTGCCATAATCGATATGCTGAAGTATGATTTTCCCGGGCGCCTAATCTTCGGTTTAGCGATTTACACTGGCCAGCAAAATTGCCTGATTTGACCGCTCCATACTTCTTTTTGTGGGGCTTTTTGAAGTCGCGGTCGACATAATCGACAAGCTTCAAACACTCTTAGCTATTAAAGAAAATATCCGTCAAGAATGTGAGGACCTATTTCCGGAGATTTTGTCCAAAGTGATGGAAAATGACATAAAAAGGGCTCAAATAACAATAAACTGAGGCGGCGGTCATTTACATGACATCATGTTCTCGATTTGAAAAAAAAGTTGAAAAATTCAACCCTCAAGCGAAGCGGACTTTTTGATCCATTTTTAAAAATATTAAAATAAAAAAAAATAATAAGATTTTAGGGTTAAAGCCGTACTTTGTGTGAGTTTGTGCAAAAATCTCCAACAAAGCATAAAATGATGCTTTGTGGATGGATGGATTTCTTCAAGGACTAAAATATTCTCTATAAAATTTCAATATAAGTTTTCTAGGTATTTAATTTTCTACGTCTCATGATTGTGCAAGAAATCCCAAATTATCAATGAACACCTTTTGGAATCACACAAACATTTTTCTTTATTGGCATGCGAGCCCCATAAAAATAAAAACAAATGGATTACGAGGTATAAGCAGGGTAATTACAACACCTTAATAAATTTGGTATCTAATATAAACCTAGGCGCATTTAATCCCTTGTAATTAGGTAATAAAAATCCGGACACTCAAAAAAAGGGAGTAATAAAATGTATGGATCCCTAATGACACCTTGCAGGTAGTAGGAAACCTGTACATAGGGATACCTATGTTAACCTAAAATCGTATAAATAATTTGCATCAGCAAGTCAGAACATTATTCACCCACCACAACTCAAATGGTTAAGAAGTCACTAAAGCGTTAATCAAACACAACAAAAATTATATAAAATGGCATCGATTACCAATTATCAACACAAGAAATTCAGTGTGAAAACTGAGGAATATCAGCACAAGAAATTTGATTCGACTAAAAGAAAACTCAATGAAATTGAAAAGGAAGAATTGACCATAACAGCCGATTTTATATTGCAACAAGCCCAGAAGGAGAAAAATACCGATTTGCCACAAATCAAAAGAAAACAAACGAAAGCTCTATTTCGTCCATGGGAAGATAAGGAAGGAAGTAATATCAACAACGTCACCAAGAGGCCACACAGTTGTCCACCAACTGAAGTTGCACCCCAGGAATCCAACTCGAAACGCAGACGCAACACTGGGAGTGCTTTAATGCGACGTCGCCAGCAACTGAAGCAGCAACAGGCCGAACAATGGCTAAGGCAACAACAATATATTGCCTATCACCAGCAACAACAGCAATACAATGCCGCTGTAATGGAACAAACGATGAGGAATTCCGTTTATTTGGCATATTTACAACAATTGGCACAACAACAAAGACAGCAACAACAATTATTTGTTTTCGGTCTGCAACATTAGAGATGTTAAATTTAATCCCCCCAAAAGGCAATTTATTTAAGGCGATTGACTGATTTTCGAATTGGTCGTAAAATATGAGAAGTTCTGTGATAGTTATAATTAATATTTGTATAATTTATTATTTATTTATTTAATATACTTATTTATTTATCAATAAAAAATGAAAAAAACAAAAATTAAACATATTTGAATTTTCATTATTAAAAACCTAAAGATTAGATAAGATTATCTTTGATAAGTATGGGAATCTTCAAATATCTCCGATTTGGACAATAAAAGTCCTTAAAAATAGTCTATGCAAAATTTTTGTTAAAATCCACAATTGTAGTTCATGAAAATATTTTCTAAAATCGAAGGTCTTAAAAATATCCACGATATATAAAAAAACTGCAACAAAGTCAAACGCCATAACTTTTAATTATACCCTACAACACTATGTGTTGGAGGTATTATAAGTTTGATTTGGCCAAAAATTATGTAACACCACGAAATATTGATTTCCCACATAGGAAAGTATATATGGATCTTCCTATCTCGCCGAGCTGAGTCGACCTAGCTATGTATGTCCGTCCGTCCGTCTGTCCGTCTGTCCATGTTAATTTGTAATCACTCTACAGGTCGCAATTATGGCCCGATCTACACGAAATTTAGAATGGAGGTGGGGCTAGGGTCAGAATAGAACCCTATTTCTTTTGGAGATGATCGCAAAATGTTTAGGGGTTGAAATGGACCAAATACTGAAAAAATGTCGGATTTTGCAGTAGCTATACAGGTCGCAATTATAGACCAATCGACGCGGAATTTCGCATGTAGCTAGAGTTTAGGGCGGGGAAGAAGCCTACCAATTTGGGTGGTCATCGGATAATATTTAGCGGGTAAAATAGACCATATTTTTGTTGAACAAAATTAAAAATTTTTCATTAAACCGCGAATATTTTAAATCCCGGCGAAATCACAAAGCCATGACAAGGTTACTTATGATCTTTACATTGATGTTAAGATCCAAAAATTCGAATATATAGCAAATATATGCGATATATATGTCTATCAAAGGAGATATGCTTGAAAGATCTCATATATGTCGAGAACGGCTGAACTGATTTCGACAGTTCTCATTAGTTCAGAATGCCCTCTTGGCAGGAAAGAAAAAACGTCTAAAAAATCGCATAAAAATATCTCTCTAAAGATGAAAATATTGATTTTGTAATATTTTCTCATATTTTTTTCCATTTTGTCATATTTTTGGCATATTTTCATTTTGAATTAAACATTTGGTAATATTTCTACAGCTAACAAAACTAAGTAGTTGAGATATCAGGATATCATATACAGATCGCATTTATGGACCGATCCTTACGAAATTTTGCATGGGGATAAGATGAGGGTCAGAATAGAAGCCTACTCTTTTTGAAGATGATCGGCATATATTAACGGGTTGAAATGGACCAAAAAACTGCAAAATTGTCAGTAGGTCGTAATTATCGCCCGATCCTCACGCACATTTGAATGGGGGTTACCGAACATTGCAAAAGCCAAGCAGTTTTGGATGGCCATCCAAAAATATTCAATGTGTACAGGAGTTTGCCAACTTTTGTAGACAAAATATGAAATGTCCATTCCAGTGACTTTTTGGAGAATTCACAAATACAGGAAAGACGCGCTTCTGACTATTTTTTTAACGCTGATTTCGTTGAAGAATACAGTCAAATGTCTGTATTTCATATAGATGCGTTTCAGTCAAAAACCAATAATAAATGTTAATTTTTTGCCACTTCTGAGAGATTATAGGTCTTTGGGAAATATTGGTTCCAGATCTAGGAAGACCATTTAAGTACAACATCTACCAATAAATTGGAAATGAGCAAATTAGTTTAAGTTGCTATTATTTGAAAATTAGAGAACGAAACCTGATGGTTTTCTTTTATTATTTGTTACAATATCTTGTGGAATTCTTTCGAGTATCTTGGCTATATAAACTGTATTATTTATTATAGTGTTGTAGGGTATTCAACGGTCGGCCCCGCTCGACTGTAGCCTTTGCTTACTTGTTTTTTTTTTTGAAATTTTATTGGTTCTAGTTTTTTTTTTAATTTTATTGAATAAAATCAAAACATTTTCGGAAATATCATCAAATTTTAGAATAAGTTTAGATTTGTTCGAATAGGTCACCTTTGACACGAATTATGGCCCTCAAACGGCCAATGAAACTGTCACACGCTGCCCGAATGTAGCTCTGCGATATTGTGACCTATTCGCGGCGAAGCGCTTACTTGAGGTGATCGACACTTTGATATTTTTTAGTGCCAACCTTGCTTTCCAAAATACTCTAGACACAATAGTCCAAAGGATTGATAACCGGAAATTTCGGTGGCTATTGTGCGCTGGAAATTAAGCGAGGAACCTCATTTTGTAACCATACTTGGGTGGCGCGTGCTGAGTGCGGTAATGCTGAGTCCTGTTGGAATGTCCAACGTTTGCGACCAAAATGTTTGCGTGCCCAAGGCTTGAATACACCCTCCAGAATATTTTCTCCATGATATTCGGCATTTATTCTGATGCAACGGTCCATTAATACGAGCGGAGAGCGACCATCGGCTGATATGGCGGCCCACACCATCACCATAGCCGGCGCTTGAGTTCTGGTGGCCAACCGAAGGTGCACATTTTCACCTGACCTCTTTGGCAAGTAAACACCACGATCATTTTGTTTGTTTACAAACTGCTGGAAAACGAATGAGTTTTCTCATCGGAGAAAATCAAATTCGGCAGTTCACCACTTTCGGCCAAGCGAAGGAACTCTTTAGCTCTTTTGAGTCCATTTTCTTTTAGTTGCGGTGTAAGTTCTTGAATTTGGAATTTCAATGGCTTTACCGAGCTTTACGAGCTCATTTGTCAACATTTGCCGAATGGAATATTGCTATATGATCAGCTCACGCTCCATTTTTCAGCCACTGCGACGCGGGTTTGGATCAAATTGTTTCTTTACTTTTCGAACCATTTCTGCTGATGTTGCTGTTTTCTTCCGCCCACTTCCTTGACGTCGGGCTACGCTACCAGTATCATGGTAGGAACGAGACACAAAAGATTTATTCATATTTAAATGCTGGAGTGCTCTAGAGATAGCCAGTTGGAGTTTTCCAGCCAAATGTAAAGAATTCCATCACAAATAACCTTTTTCCGGTTAATTCTCAAGAAAATGCTTTTGTGCGCTTGTAAACAATACAATGAGCTGTCAATGCAATAACTTTAACAGATGACGGACGAGTGGCTTAGAAATGATAGCAGCCTGAAGTTGGTTGCAGTTTTTCCATATCACCCTGTTTGGTGTCATTGCCAATATTGCAGATCAAAATTAAGAATATTATTTTGATGGAAAATGTTAAACCTCAAGCAAGGCAGCAATGGGTCTTGTTGGTCCTTTTTTGAAAAGATAGTTAAAAACTCCCATTTAAATTGGATCGTTGCATGACAATTTGTTCTACAAAATTATTTGTCATAATATTCTACTATAGGTCCTTGTAGACCTCTTAAAACAACATTAGGATTAGAGTGAGATTATGTAAAAGTCTCCCACAAAGAAGCAGACATAATATACATTCGAGTAAAATTAAAAAAAACTTAAAAAGTTTTCGGAAGCCACAGACGGACGGACATCGACATAGATTTGTATGCTGATCAAATCGACATAGAATTTTATGCTGATCAAGAATATATATACTTGGAGGGTTCTAAAATGTATATTTCGAGGTGTTACAAACGGAATGACAAACTTAATATACCCTCCATATTATGGTGGAGGGTAAAAAAAATCCTAATTTTTAAACCATCAGCCATTTGGCAACAGAGGACACCTTTTGATACGGTCAAAATGTGCCTCATAGACCCAAGGTCTCTTTGGACTAAATAATGCGAAAATGGATAATACCGACCCACTCCATTAAGTCCCTCCTCCACAAAAGCTCAATATTTGGAATAATTATAACTCTCACAAAATGTGAAATTAAATTCCGATTGCCTTACATTTTCGTATATCTCAACATTTCTACTAACAGAATATCTGGATTGAAAAACGGACAACTCCTTTTGGTACCTCCCCCAAAACAGGGAAGCATTTTGAATAACCATGAAGCTCATAAACGCGAAACAATATCACAATATTTCAAACAAGATTTGGTGTGAAGATGAAATATGTCGGTGCACGCCTTATGGTACCTCCCCCAGAATTAGTCAAAAAAATCAAAACTCTTATAAAATTTGTAATAATTATCTGATTATCTTCAAATTCCCAACTTCCCAATATTTCTACTAAAGCAAGGTCTAATGTAATGATGTTGCAGAAAGTAGTCGATATAGTCCAAAATTTACACGTCGCGAGATGTACATTAGTCTTAGCTCAAATACGAAATATTGGCCCACTCCTGCGGACGTTAGTCCCAATAGTTCTTGAGAAAGTATGTATAGCTCAGATAGTTCACAAACTCAATTCGGATCAAAAAAAAAAAAAAAAGAAAAAAAGTCCCTTGAAAATATTCTCTAAAAATCCACGATGATGTCTGCTATGATAGTCTTTGAAATATTCTTAAAAAATTCAAGATTATAGCTCTACTTATCCTGCAAAAATATTCTTTAAAAGATCCAGGATTAAAGCTTTGATAGTCCTTGAAAAATATTTTTATGAAGTCCACGATTATAGCTTTGTAGTCTTTGAAAAATATTCCGGTAAAGGTCTGCGATAATAGTTCATGAAAAATATTCTTTCAAAAATCCGCTATTATAGCTCTAACAGTCCGTGAAAGTATTATTTAAAAGATCCATCCATTCGATTTTAACTCCGTTAGTCCTTGAGACATTGACTTTGAGGAGTCCATGATTGTTGCTCTGTAAGTTTCATTAAAAATACTCCACGATTGTAGCCCTTGAAAAATATTCTGTAAAAAGTCCAAGATTATAGCTCTGATAGTCCCTGACACTATTCTTTATGAAGTCCACAATTTCAGCTC